GAAGGATCATGTCATCCAGTGCACACTGATGCATCTTACTATATAATGATGAAAACTCTCTCTGTTTGTGTGCCTATTCCACATTTTTCTCCTCACTGACTTGGTCAATCCATGTGAAATTTGGCACAGTGGTAGAGGGTCATGGGAGGATACGAATGAAGCAATATTACATCAATTGGCCAAAGGGGGGCGCTATAGCAACCGACTGAAATTGCAAACTTTGAATGGGCATATCTCATGACCCGTATGTCGTAGAGACATGAAACTTTGCACAGAGATGCCTCTCCTCATGAGGAACAAATTTGCCCCAAGAACCCATAACTTCCGATTATATAGATTTTCCACAATTTTGAATTTTTTGAAAAGCACTTAAAATGGATCTCTTCATAGGAAGTTTGAACTTACTAAAACTGAGCTTCTATAAGGCAATGAATATTGTGGAGGGCGTGGCTCATCACATAAAGGTGTATAACATCTCAAGGGTTTCACCGATCACCACGCAACCTTGTAGGCATATGACCACACATAATCTGAGGGGACCCCTCCATTATTGACCCAATCAAACAAAATGGGGGCGCTAGAGAGCTAATTTCTTATCTAGGCCTAGCCGCCATATTGATTTTTACTAAACTTGGTAGATATGTAGAACAGGACGCCTCAAGGTGACTGGAGAAATTTAACTCTAATTGGCAACTGGGTGGCGCTGTAACAACAGAAAAATAGTTAAAATGAGACTGATCTCTGTGGCTCCCCCTGTGGCCCAATGTTGGAGTTTTTTTCCTAATTTTTGGTCTGACTAAGTCATGGTATGGTATGCTGTACATAATCACGGAAACTGTCAGTCAGTCATTCTGTCTGTCCCAAGGTTTTTCTACTCACTGACGTGGTCAATCTACTGTACTTTCAATAAAGCAATCGTACTATCAAATTCACAGAAACTCTGTCTAAATACATTGCTCTTCTTAATGGGTATGGACTAGTTTTAATAGTTTTGGATGACAGTGAGGGTCTGTGACACTGAGGAATAAGATACATCAGGCTTTAACCTGTAGGATCAACTGCTGGCGTCTGTCTTTCAGGAGCTTAGCTGACAAAGAGAAAATTTTCCTTTGACACTAGTTCTCCCTTTCATAGAAGCGATTAGTTAAAAGAAAGCACCAAGGCGAACTTGAGTAGATTTATGATGGCTCAATTTCACCATTAATGGACCTGAACACAAATATTAGTCATTTTTTACTGTTGAGATGTTCAGTACAAATTGAATACAGCTCCGTGGCTCAGAGTCTTTTGCCTCAGTGTCCGTTCTATCAATCAGTTCAGACAGTTAAGGCTTTAAAAGCGACGGCTGGATGAGTCAGTGTTACACCACTGAGACGACACACTCATTCAGCTGCTCACTGAGGAAGAATGACTTGTTTCAATACAGACCAAACTGTATCAGCCAGAGTCTCCTACTGAGCCTTAGATGATCCTTTGTCTGGCTGCGAGGCTTTTTTACTCTCTTACTCTCGTGTTTTATTTTCAGTTATGGATTCTTTATATCGCTGCTTCAATTCTACGTTTTCATGGTTTTTACATGAAGCACTGACAACATTTAAAAATTGTCCTCTGGGAGGTTTATTAAGGTTTCCAAGTGCTGCTGGCAGCCAAATAATCAGCATTCTCCATGTGGCTGATTCCTTTGTGTTTGCGACTATAAAATACATATTTTGAATCACATCCAACAGCATATGTTGCTGTGTGGCTAAATCAGGTTGTCAAATTATTATAACTATAACGAGGGCGGTGAGCCTGAAATTGAAGCAGCACTGAAAGCAGCATGTTTATATTAATAACTGGCCTTGTGCGTATGGCCTTGTTAAAATGGAAATTCAGGATTTACACTTATTGATACGGGAGTAGCGCTGCAGCTCATGCTGATTATAGTGAATTATTAAAGGCCGTATAATTTGAAGCCACAAGTGAGTAATCCATTGCAGCTACGGCAGATGTTCATATTATTTGTTTTGTGTGGTTGAAATAAAACCTGAAAAAATGTTACATTTTATTTATTCATCTTGTGGTTGAGTTGATTTTTTGCACAATTTATCTTGAATATTTTGTATTTAAAAGCAGTCAAATATTAAGATATTTCTTTCTTTCTTTTTTTTGTTTTAATTCTGAATCATCCTTGAAAAGCTACCATATGGAATTAGTGTGCAAATGTAGATCTGAAAGGTACAGTTCACCCCTAATTCAAAAATACATATTTTTCCTCAAAAGACTCAATTATGCTCAAGGTTAAGATATGAACACAAACAGAGCCTTCTATTTGTACTTTGTGTTCTCGTCATCTGTATTTGTGCATGTTTTCTGAAAGCATATGGATACAGACAAAACGGAGCAGTACCATCGGAAATTGTGGGGGCAGTGTAGCGTAGATCAAATGAGACCTGACCTAAGGAGACGACAAAACATTTTTAAAATGGCAGAATAAATCAGTAATATAATGAAAATATATCTCCGTCCACGTGGCACATTGTATTTAATGGCTTCACAGACCACTGCCATCTACAACGCTGCCTTTGTTAAGAGTAAGGCAGCATCGTTGAGACTCCCTCCACCATCACTATGTTTGTTGTTGTCAGAAACTTTTGACTTAGCCTCTAGTACCATCTTTTGGCTGTTTCTATGCCAATATAATGGATGCATGGAGGTATGGAAGTGATGGTTATAACATCTGAAATTAACGAATCCATTTTTGTACATAAAGGGAGTATAAATGAGCCTTTACCTCTAATGCTAGTTTGTGTTTGTAAAGATTCATGAGGCTGTGATTATCCTGCTCTGAGGTCACAAAAGGTCATTTATGACCTATTCAAAAAATGGTCTCACTATAATGAAATTGCTACTATGGGGACCAACATCATCACATATGAATACAGTTGGGTCATTGAATCTACGACAGTCTCAGTCATGTCCAGTTCACCATTTTTAGAATAGGCAAAAATAACTCATATGCTGCATGCAAAAACCAGCATGTTTTTATGTCCAAAAACTGCGTGTGATTAGCATTAAGTGGGCATGTTTGTAAAGAGGAGACTCGTTGGTAAGCACAGAACCCATTTTCTTCAGATATTTTGAGATGTCCTCCACTGTTGGCGCTAGTCGGCTTTTGTCAGCCCTTATCAGCTTTTTTTTTCAGCTGAGTCAGCATGTTGAATTGGCGTCTGGGACGGTAATGCCCAGCAGTGAATTATATCATCCTGACTGGCTGTTTAGCTCAGTGCATGAGAAAAGAAACGGAAGCAATTCAAGTCAAGAGGGCATCAAATGTAAACAAACTCATTCTTTCAACATCAGGTTGTGTTTTTATGTGCTAACTGACAAACTAGTGTCTTAAATTCGTCCTGTTGGTCTTACAGTTTCCCTTTTTTGAATGATGAATACAGACTATTTCTGCCTACTAGTATGGAGAATTATTTCCTCTCAAGAAGGCACAGAACGTCTGTGCTAGTTGACCATTGATTGTAGTCTTTGTGGTGTGTTTATGTGCAACATTTCAGCCAAGACACTATTAGGTTGTCTAGTTGCCTGTGATAAGACTACTTTCGCGCTAGCCCATAAATGAGCCTCTTAAAGACTGTCATGTTGGCCAAGATTGCTGTCCCGTGGGTCTCCCAGAGTAAATGCTTTTTTGCTTTATGTCATTGTAAAGTGAATATCTTTTGATTTGAAGCCATGGAGGTATAAAGAGAACTGGATATAGCGTTGGAGACGGGGCCTCGTTTATTTCAATTAAAGTTGCTCAGTGGTGCATGAAGCAAAAATAGCTCTTTTCTGCAGTATGAAACTGTCTGGATCTTCCACACTGTGGGGCCCAGAGACCAAGCACACTAGAGACTTGTGGTGGTTGAGCAGCTAACTAATGGCTCAGCCCACTGCTAACTTAAATGGTGATTAAAACGATTTTATTGTTTGGCTCGTCAACACTTTCAACATGGTATCAGACCAAATGATCAACCATCCATCCAATGAGTCATTTTGCAGGGGTTGTGACAATCAAAAATATTAACTTACTGATCTACAGAAATCTCTTTCACAATGTGGGTCTATGGGAAAAATTCTTTTTGGGCCCTATAGAATCACTTGATTAACCAGGAAGTTGTAATTCCACATTTGGCCACTATGTAAAATTGGCTTCAAAGTCTGCTGCTGTTCCCAGGGGCTTGGACAAAACTTAAACATGTGACCATGGGCTTGAGGAAAGCATGACAGACCTATTTTCACTATTAATTCATTAAACATAAATTATCAATAAAACAAATTAATACATAATGAAGATAATAGTAAAACACAGCAGTTTATTGCAGCTCACCAGTGTCAGATGTATCCTGTTGAGCTGCTGCAGTCTTGAATGTCATCTCCCCAAACTTCATCAGTGTTGTTCGTTCTGCATGGCCTGCCTCTGAAGCTCAGGATGATGCAAATGGCTGCTTACTGCTTTAATGATAGATGGTAATATCCCGCTGCTGGTGAGGGATGTGTTTACTTTTGGCGCTTGACTATGCCCCGGACACCCTGTGTATGTGCTCACGTTAACACTGTGAAGATGGGGGAGATGGCAGGAGGAAAAGATGATATTTTTTTTGGTTGTGAGAAAATAGCATGTGCAGTGTGTAATTTGGGCCCATCACTTGTACATCTCCAAAGGTGGTCGGCCTGTCATCAGACATGTCTCTGGGTAATGGCATTCGTTGTAGAGACCACTCCGGAGGTCCCTCAGAAAGTGTGGGCACAAGACAAATGGTGCTCATCAATAATCTGCCTGCTGCTCTGTAGCCACAGCAAAATGAAAATGAATGACAGAGCGTTTCTTTGACATCTGAAGACGTCTCTCGGGGAAAATGGCCGTGCAGAGTGAACATCAAGAGGCGTTTGGAGGAGGAAACGCTGCAGCCTGTTCATGCGAAGACATTTCATAGATGTCGTCGTGGTCAGAAAAAAAAGGCATTCTTATTCCAGTGCGTATAAGAGATGTTTTTCTTCTATTAAATTCAAACACATTTAAACACAAACCAACATGAGCTCTTTTTCTTATTATTTTAATATGACTGTCTTGGGGCATGAAATAATTAGAAGTCAGATTACAGAACATCTTTTCCTGCTAACAATCATTAACCCCTGAACTTTTATTCTTTTTTATTAATATTATTGTAATATCACACTTAATTTATTATGGCATTGTTGAAAAAACATTGTTGCACTGATCTCTGTGGGTTGAATATGTCAACTGTGTTGCACTCGACACCACATCCAACATCACTGCTGTGTGCAGCCTGTTACACGACCCATACCCAACAGTGATGTTATACCACAGTATAGTGTAGGGGTGAGAGTCACAATACAAAACTGACACGATACATTCACTGCTCACGGTAATGATGGTATCACAGTCTGTAACATGAGCTATCTGGTACATCTATTGCTGAAACAATTAGTTCAGATTAGCTGATAGAAAGAAAATGAAATGATAATTGTTCACAGTTTTAATTATCATTTATCTCAGGTTAATCTTCTAAAATGTGAGAATTTGCTGCATTTTCTCTTGATATCTTTTGAACACGTCATTGCGGTGTACAGGTTTACATTGAAAACAATGGGTGCAGGTGTTTTGATGAATGTCAGATGCTGCCAGTTTTTGTTTGATGGCCATTTTTCACCATTTTCTAATGTTTTAAAGAATCAAGTATATAATCAAGTATATATAAGTAACCCGGGAGGTTTTGATCTCTAGTGGTAGGGCTGCACAATAAATTAAAATATAATTTAAATCGCAACAGGGCCAAGTGTAATATCCAAATTGCTGGAACTTGATAAAGATAAATGTGTAATAATATATCATTGTAAATGAAGCACATTGGTGGCAGATTCCTGGGCCTTCAAATCATATTCTAGATGTAAGTGAATGTTTGTTTTGTTGTTTGTTTTTATAGGGTAATATTGGTGGCAAACTTGATGGTTGTGTGTATTTACTGTGCTATCTTTTTTTAATCTCACCCCTACGACTTAAGAGCTGAACAGCAGCATTGGGCCGGTGTAAAGTTTTTTAAACCGGTTTGATATTAAGCCAAACACTGGACCAGACTGGTATACTGAATTTTACCACTAGGTGTCGCACTGCACTCAAAAGCCGCTCTGGAATGGAACATAATGACACCGTTCACTAACAGCTAACATACTTCTGACTATCATGTTGTATTGTGTAACATTGGAGCTCTCTGTCCACACTAAATCTATTAAATATGCACTTTAGTTATAACATATACCTTAGCAGAAACTTTCAGCCCCCTGGCGATCTCACTCCAACCAGTTGCCAAATTATTTTAGTTTATGTAGAGAAATGAGGAGGTATCATATAGATAATTCCTCATTTCAACTTCATCAATCAGTCATTCTCCTTCTACGCTGAGTTTTCAATGTGTGCTACAGGAATAAATAGAAACAGGGTGTACAACACAAGTTCTGCTCAAAAAGGCGCACCACATGGCTCACAGCCAGTTACACACCTCTTTTGCTTGCTTCAAATCCGAAATGTTGCCATACTGATGCAGTTTTCTTGAAAGACTCTGCTATGTCTCATCGTATCACCCCAAAAACACATGACGTTTCTAGAAAACAAACACAACATGCACCCCCCTCTCCCACCTCTGCTGAAATTTGATCTCCACATTACCAGTGCTAGGTTCTGCAGTAAATTGTTCACGGCCTGTCAGACACTACTGTAGTGGCTCCTTTAGTCCATTTAAAAATATATTATGTTGATCCTGTTGTCACATTGCTTATTACCAGTGCAATACAAGTTGGACTTAGTGCCATGATGCCATCAGCACAGGTGGATGATGTAGGCTACTTTTTAATTTGCCATAGTATGTCATAATGTCACATGGCGGTTCAGCCACTTTGCATAAAATCAAACCGGTTTAAGTTCGTACACTAGACTGGATAAACCGGAAATCAACCCAACTCTACTCAACATCACTTGTGGAGTGTGGACAGCAAGTGCAGCAAGGTAAAATTTCAACCAGCAGACGACATCAGAAGAATCTTCAGCCAGTGTGATATCGCTCTTTTAAGTTGGTTTACATAAAGAAATAAAATGTCTTTTTTGTACTGCTCTGATCTCCCTCCAACCTATGGACACAAGGCAAAACAGTGGGATAGAAAATACTCTTTCAAGCATCTATCATAGAGCTACCAGTTCCCTTGAAGCTGCAGCTTTTTTTTTTCTTCAAATACAGCATCAAATAGCACTACAATAACATAGTGTGGTCACAGGATGGAACAAACAACCCTGTGGTACACAGGAGCTTTCCCTAAACCTTGACTTTTAGCTTGCATCTTCTAGATTTTCACCTTAAAAAAGGTAGATATAATAACATCTTTAAATGTTCAGTTAAAGTGTGCCATTTTTTCTCCTCACTACCAGCACATCCCAATAAAATAATTTGCCTATATATATTTTTTTTTTCTGTACACTTATCTTAAATGCTACCATAAATTGAGAGCATGCTGCTGCCCTTCACACCAAAAATTACTGCAAAACTGGCACAATACCACCACATGACATCATCACGTCAGGAAAGGACTTCAGTCACATCGCTGTCAGAGCTCCAGAGTCTCGAGCACAGCCAACATCTTCACCATCTTCCACTGGAACTGGAAAGATAGACTGGGAGATAGATGGCACCAACATCCACGCTCTGATCACTTCATCTTGTTTTGGTGTCTGACATCATCGTGGTCCCAATCGATCCTTTGGTCCAAAAGGATTCTGGGCTTGAAGTCGCCTTGCTCCCGCTCAAAGACTAAATGGAGGCAACTGGTTGGACGAACAGCATCAACAACCAGTGTTTGGTTAAGGCTCCCTCTGTCCAAACGCACCAGTATTCATTAAATAAGCCTCACACAGATGTACACTCACACGCGTCTCACTTCGCCGGTCCTGAACACGCATGAAGCTGCAGTCCAGGGGGGCAAAAGGGCTCATCCTCACTTCCTCCTCAATCTCCTCGCTGCGAATTTTACAGGCCCCAGTACGGAGCCAGGCTCCTGCGGTCCCTCTCATAAACATCAGGTATGACCCCGTAGGGAGTCTGAACCATCTTAACAGAGTTTCTACCAAACAGCTTTCTCTCGTACTCGATGAGTTGGCGCCAGAAACCACCGTTGGGCCTGATGACAGGGCGGCGGGCTTTTACCCAGGCGTGGGCCTCAGCCAGAGACACACGATGATACTTCATGAGGTACGCCAGGCAGAGAGAAGCTGAGCGGCTCACGCCTGCTGCACAGTGCACCAGCACAGCCCCTCGCTTTCGTCCCACGCTGTGGATCTTATCAGCCACACTGTCGAAGTACAAGGAGATGGGGGAGTGGGGCATATCGGCCAGAGGGACTTTTACATACTCCATGTGTGGCCAGTTGAAGTTGGGGAGCTCGATAGTGGCATTGACCACACAGGTGATGCCTTTGGACAGCAGCAGGCTGCGGTTGGATGCCACATTCCCTCTGCTGAGGAAGAGGTTGGGGGTAATTTGCGCGATGCCCCCCAGCAGGCTGCCATTCTCAGGCAGCAGCCTGGGCACAACAGTGGGCACCATGGAGCTACGATGATGGTTGTGGTGATGGTGGAAGAACCCTTGGCTGCGGGAACCCATCGAGGAATTAAGTGGGCTTCAGGAAGGATGGCAATTTCGTTTTTTAAAGCAAATCTTCAGGAGCTCAGAGTCATAGTAGTGCAGCCAGCCAGACAGCTCCTGTAACACACAAACAGATTTCACTTTCAATCTAAATTAAACATTTTTCCACTTCACTGTAGACCGAGTGCTCAGGCTGACAAACAAAAGGACGAGTAGCGTCACCACTGTTTGCAAAGACTCCAAAACAAAAGTGCTAAAATCCGTCTTTTTTTGTTTTGGAAGACGGTGGCTTCCAGTAAATGTTATTCTGCAGTCTGTCTTTAAAAAACAGACAGACACAATAGATGACTAACTCAAAAACTTGCTGCTGTGACCCACTGATCCAGAGTCTTCACTTTATAATTACATCAAAGGGTTTTCATGGATCCATGGACCGATGAAAAGTGTTTCTATCCCAGCTTGCGAGGCCCGTCTATTTCTGCTGCATGTCTCTCTACATTCAGGTCCAATGGCCTCGATGCTGCACTCTGAAACGTGCCTCCCTCTGCCATGTGAGCACAGACCCCCTGGAGGCGTGCACTCACCTCATCTCATGTTCATCCATCCACAGCCTGCACATACAGATTACATCTCTCGTCTCTCTGGTAATCGCTGCTTTTAATGCCATTTTAGAAGGCATCAAAGGTGGAAAGTAATCATATACGTTATGATTGCACCAACGTATGCTGATAAATACTTAACTTAAGCATGAAATATTTCTAAAATTTTATAAGCTAATTCCATTTTCTTTTTCCAAAACTGGATAAACAAAATAATCTTTCACCTTATGTTCACAAGCTGTAAACTATCATGAAGATGCACCACGAAAAGATATTATAGTCGCCTCAACGTGAAATTTCTAGCGACACTGTATATGAGGGAAACAGCCTCCTGTTTTAATACTTAAGCTATCAGCAGAGAGCCCACAGCTGCGAGCGCTACTTCACACGCTGTTGCACTTGTCGTGCGTCATCCACACCTTGTGCACCAGTCTGGCCGGCAGGTCTTTTTCTTTCATTTTCTGCTACAGTCTGGTTAACAAGACACACGGGTCAACTGCTTTAAACTGGAACTCAACCTGCAAAAAAACCAACAACAACCACCTACCGTTACCTGCAAAGAGTCTGCAGAGACAGATCGGGATTCTTCTAATTCTTCTTAATTGAATCAGAAGCAAAAAAAAAACAGCAAAAAGACATGAATTTAACCTTAGTTTCATGTTTATTGCCTAAATTTTGCATGAAAACAGAAAAGCAGGGATCCAGAACACAGAAATACTGTTTTTTTTCTTCATCTCCAGAAGCTTCCTTGTCTCATAGTCACCTTCCTCAGCACCCTCTACACCTATCGATCTCAGCTTTGCCACCTCAGCATGGTCTGCTTCGCTTTCCAAAAGAAAAAAAAAAAGGATCAGAGGCTATAACAACACCCTCGCCCTTGTCCTTCCTCAGTCAGGCAGAGTTTTTCTGGCTTGCTCCGATCACCATGGACTGCTTCTGAAATGGTTGCCTTGATCCACTTCTCTACACACCGTCGCCACTGGTGATGAGACAACAAATGCAGCGATCCAGGCCGAGGAAATGAGTGCTACAAACAAACCACATCAGCAGGTGTTAGTTAGCGCTACTAGTTGTTGTTAGAGCACAGCAAAACCTGTGCACGCTTTTGTCTCAACTCGAACTGAAACAATCAGTTGATTAATCGATTGGATGATTGAGAGGAAACCAATTAAGTCTTTTTTGAAGCAAAAATAAAAAAAACATCGTACATAGTAAATCTTTGGGTTTCGAACTGTTTGTCAGAGTATTTGAAGACTTCAACATTTTTTTTTACTGTTTTCTTTAATTTTCTTCATTCTTTCCATTTTACTGCCCAATCACTATTTAGAACACAATGGTAATCAGAAAATTTTAAAAAAGATATAGGAAATGTGCCAACAACTGTTGAGGCAACTGTTGCCTAAAAATCAAACTGAACTTCCTTTTCTGTTTCACTTCATTACTAAGTTTAACACTGTGTTTATATTAGACATTTCCATGCTTGGTAAAAGAGTTTATCTTGCTCTAATCAATCCGTAGTAAATATTATATCTTTGTTCACGGACATGGATGCAGTAGTGTTTTCTAGCCATACTGAAACCCATCGGCAATCGGTCTGACAACAGCAGAGCCTCTGGGGGTGAGGGCCAATATTTCAGCAGTAGCTAGCAGGTATCTGAGCCGAGACTTCCTCTTCTGTGCGCCGGTCTTTTTGGCTAATCTCTATAAACAAACAGATATTTGCATATGAATGCAGATTTTAAAAAACTAAAAATAATAAAATGCTAAATCATCGTCAGACGATAGCTGATGGATTCCGAGATCGCATTTTGGCTGATGCGTTCCATCTATTATATCAGTATCCTGATATGAGACAAGATATCATCTTAGATTTTGTATATCATACTATCATAAGTGTTGTCTTTTGCTGGTTTTAAAGGCTACATTACAGTAAAGTGAGGTAGATTTAATAGCTTAACAGAATGTTCTAGCTGTTCTATTACCTATTTATTTATTATTCACCTTACTGATGATTATTTATGACTGTGTAAATATTTTGTGAAAGCACTACAATATCATTGCAATGTCAATGTCAAACTATTTGGTCAAAAATATTGTGATATTTGATTTTCTCCACATTGCCCTGCCCTACTTTCAGCTCCTTGTTTTGGGTCTATGGCCCACAGCTCTTCTGTCTTGGTTCAGTCATATCACTCTTGTGTCTTGTTCTTGGAGAAGAGACAAAATAAACGGTGCTCACAACAGTGGATTTACATCATGTTGTGCTCTCCCTAGTGGCCAAAGTATAGATGCAGGTTTAATGTAATGTTGGATCGAAAAATCAGTCAATCTAGAAGTTGATATATCGGTAAGTCGACGTACAACAGTCTATACAGCTGAGTGTAGCTCCTCTACACAAGTCTGATCAGCTCGGCTGTTTTTGCAACTCAGAGAAATCAATGAGAACAGACTGATCTGAATCTGGGACGTGGGCAGTGATTCAGAGTCTGGTACCCGTCTACAATAACAGGGACATCTTGCTTAAACTGAAAAAGTGAACCATTAACAGATGTCCTTCTTGCAAGACACTTTCTGTTTCAGTGGGAGGCACAGTCACTGCATTATTTCATGAGGACAGATAGCATGTATACCATCAGCTGAAGTACGAACTCTGTTGCTGCGGCAACCTACTGACCACAGTGTAAGACGGCCAACTGAGAGATGAAGAAGATAAGAGAACCAAATAATCCCCGACCCTCTCCAACGTGCTGATGTACCACAGCGCTGGTCTTTGCTGAGATTTGCTCCATCCACATGGTTATTTATACCCCGGGCAGGGCAGGAGTGAGGCTGCAGAGAGCGGAGGAGGGAGAATTATGCAGAGAGAAAAATCTACTCTAATGTTGGAGATAGTGGGGATGCTGCAGCTCACTGTCAATCAAATTTACAGTGAGGATTAATTCTCATTTAAAAAAAGAAAAAAGAAAAGGAGAAAACACTGAGGAAGGTCAGCGGCATTCACGGGACAACTGAGATCAGAGCACCTTTTCATCCTCTTCATATTCCAAAAAGCAACCCCCTCTCAATCATGCAGGGTGGATCTGTCAACAGGTGGTCCCACCCCACTAATCTTCTCTCACACATCTTCCTCGCACGCTCTGTGGGGGGAGATTCCTCAGGGGTCCAGTTCCACCTCCGCTAACACAAATTGGAAATGTGACCCACCTGCAGGAAAACTAGAGTGGCAAACCTCACCCTCACCCTCACAATGGAAACCTCTACGAAAACGGGATCTGAGCTGAACTTGGCACGAGATTCCTGACTGTCGCTCCCTCACACCACAGAATAAGATGAATGAAACCAGTAGAATAGCTGGAAAAGGTGCACAAGTGGCCACACAGCTCTGAGCAGTGTCTCTCAATTAAAGTCAATCCATTTATTCAGTCTGAGTGATCTCTGAAAGTGACTCTGCTGCCAACAGTCTAGATACCAATCAGGAGAAAATGAGGAGCAATGACACAGCTCCTCAAATTCACCCAAACACAACTGGGTGCAACTTCACATCCCCCAAACGATGCTGCTGCAAAACAAAGTCAACTGCGAAGGGTTCAAACAAGAGTCAACATGAGTTTAGGGACACATTTTTCTCAAGGACGGGGATCAGTTTTGGCACCTTCCTGCAAACAGCAGCAGCTGGGTGCCGCTCACTCCGTCCACAATGTTACACCTCAGACACAAACATGAGCCTGAGAAACGAGGCCAATGAGTCTGTCGTCAGAGATGTTGAGTGTACAAATTCACTGCTAAACAGACTGTGGCTGACAGTGCACATACAAATGCAGTTTTTCATAAATATTGCATAAAGAAGCCTATTGCACATCGTAGAATTCAATTATAGGAACAAGTATTGTTGCAGCAGACAGATGAGACATAAATGGAGTGGCTCTACTTTTAGACAATGACACGCTGCTCTCACTTTAATGAGACAGACTTATCATTACCTATTATTGGCGCTAGCAGCAGTGAATATCAAATGGAGCTGAAACCAATTTCAGTTTGATAATTAATCTGCAATTATTCTGGAAAGTGATTGATTGTTTCGGTCACTATTCAAGCAAAAAAGCCAAAAGATGTGAATCTTAAATGTTAAATTTGGTCCTTTTGTTTGACATTTCTGATATGAAACAGAATATTTTAAACTTTTTAACTCTTGACATTCAAATGGACTTTCAATTGAGAACATAGGCTAACAGGAAGATAATTCAGTCATAAAAATAATGTTAGTTGCTGTACTATTATCAAATATTGCCTTTTATAAATGAGTATCGTGATGATACAGCCATTACTACACATTCTTAGTCTTATAAATCATTCAGGAGAATACAAGCTGTTGTAATTCTTGAAACTTAAAATATTTCAGTCTGCTCCTTCATGCAAACAGAGGGTGACACAGCCGTGTGTGAAAATGTGGAGCTTTAAGTGAATGACTCCACGAGTTTAATAATTTATGATCCGAGCGGTGAATGAGGACTGCTCCTCTGCGCACGCGCCGCTCGTCCTTGTGCGCGTGCGTTCACAAGTTCAGGTGTCAGAAATAGATCATTAGGCTATGAGTGTTGCATATAAAAGCACTTTAATATATTATATGTTGCCTAGTTTGAACAACACCACAAAATAAAACGACGTGTCTTCTTTAAAGAGAAGTGAGGCAGGTGCGCTTGTTTCTACAATTTCACCCCTCTTACATCAGAAAATTGATCATGATCAACCCTCAAAATAAATGCCTCTTTTTGAAATATATTTATGCTTTATTGAATTTAAGTTGAAACCATCTTATTCTGGCTCATAATGACGCCGATAAACTGCCTCCATCAGATGCAAAACTCAACTTACCAGTCGACTCTCAGTCGGGCAGCGATGGAGGTTTTTCAAAGCGCCTTCATCGTCTGCAGCAATCCGGCGGGCTGCTCTCTCACTCCGGACATTTACCTTCAGTCAGTCCGCTCTCACAGACGTCCGGAGGGATGGCGAGGGGCCAGGTGGAGGGAGACCAACCGCGACACACAACGACATAATGTGAAAGTCAAGAGAAATACGAGCCATCAGTGCATCCGCCTGCTTCTACGCTGACTGGAGCGGCGTGCACAGGGCAGCCTGCTGTGTATGAGGAGCGATAAGTGCCACACAGGAGCGGAGGATGAGGAGGAGGAGGAGGAGGAGGAGGACGAGGATGTTACCAGTCTGTATAAGCCTATAAACAGAGGTGGGAAAAGTACTGAAAAATTCTACTCAAGTATAAGTACCTTTATTTTGATGAAATTCTACTCAAGTAAAAGTAAAAAGTAGTTTGTTTAAAATGTACGTAAAGTAGAAGTTACTTAGTATCTTCCAACAACTTGATGGGGGTCACTGCTATGCAGTACAAAAATGGTCCAGGGGTCATAAATCCAGTCCAAAAACTGGTTGTTTCTCTATGATGAACCATAGAATTCAATTCAGTTTAGGGCTGCACAATATCATGAGAGCATCATCAGTGCAATGTGTTCTTGTACAATAGTCACATTGTGATACTCGCAGTATAAGTTCATCATATCAATATAATATTAGTCAAAGACAATATGCCATACTTATTTTGCTGGTTAATACTTTAGGTTGTGAAGTTCTCAATTTCCATGACAGTTTGATTGTAAAATGTATATTTCACGCAAATACATCCTTTCCAAATCCCAAATGATGACTTCTTTCCAAATAGAGCTATTCAAGTTATTGCAATACACAGTATATTGCAATACATATCGCAGTATACAAAATCGTCGCATTGTCAGTTTTGTCTAATATTACACAGCCCTCATTCATTTTGACTCACCAACACAACTGTTAGACTGATGATACACAGAGCAACTTTTTGAGCAATGTTGTTGGGCATTATTCTCAGGGATGCAAACAGGTGTATGGTCAAAAAAGAGAGAGCTTGTCGAAGCGAAATTCTCAATAGTAATACACTAACACTAATTTGGAAGAATACTGTGTATTCCAAAACAGAACAAATCCATTGAGCAACAGTGTTTCCCCTATATGCAACTAGCAGTGGTGGTGCTCCGCCGCTGAAATATGACCGCCGCTGCTGATTTCTTTTTCTTTTTTTTTGTCTTAGCTCATTAGAAACTATCGTTATATTATTTGGCACTATGGACGCTTCGTATCCAGGTCAATTCACACACTTGTGAATAAAGCATATAAGAGGAGAGGAGAGGGCTCCGTCTTATCTCTTCATAAACTAAAGTTATATTATTTGAGCGACAGACGCTTCATATAATAACATAACAATATACTATAGTGTTATATGGTGAAACGTTTCACGTTATAATGTGATGACTTATATTGTTTACACGACAGCATGTCATGTCACACACACACAGACATAGACACAGACACAGGTGAGCACACAAGAGCGCGGCTCAGGCCACATTTTTTTGAACGACAATTATAAACGGCACTGTGCAAACGGGGTTTTCTTTCGTTTCTTCGTTCTTTCTCCACCCTCCTCCATCTCTCTCTCCAGTAACTCGCCGGCACCGGAGCTGAATTAGGGTCTCTTCTCTCCAAAACAGGAAGACCTGTTTCTTATTTATAAAACAATGCGTAAGATCCATACTAAAAATGTACGACAAATGCCAAAAATGGCATGTGCCAAAAAATATGTGACTGTTTCTACAATCAGGCATCCACCTCATCATCTGCGTCGCCACTTTCCTGTCTGCAAAATGTTCATAAGCATTGGTCAAAGTTTTTCCCATCAAGTCTGTTTTTATGGATCACAACTGTTGCGGGGGAAGTGGCGTACACTTTCTTCAGGCCTTGTTTTGTATGTACGCAATGTTTATATATGAGACCCCAGATGATTTAAACTGGTACAAACACTGAATAAAGCAATTTCATGTTACAGCTCGTCGTAGACAGGCCACGAGCCTAGCACCTGCTAATATGTGCTCACCTCTTTTATCTGATAACTTAAAGGGAAATTTCGGTTTATTTCAACCTGTCTCCTATCGTCCGAGATTTGTTGTGACTAGTGACATAAAAATAAACACATAAAAAGCACCAGACCTGTTAAAACGTAAGTGAACGAGCTTTTTTTTTCACAAAGACCGCCTCATATCGTTAGGATAAATGTCAGAGAACATATAGAAAACGACATGTAAACGTGTTGTCTTACCTTACCGGTGTGCTGCTATGTTTGTTTACCATCTAGCTCTGCTTTCCAAAGCGCGGCCGAAATATATCTCGCAAGCTCTAGATAAAGCCCAGCTGGATATTACTCCAGGTGGAGGTGTCTCTTCCTCGGTCACTTCCAGACCTTGAAAATAAGGCTGCAACCGGTCCCATTCCTTGCAACAGAGGCATTCCTCTTCTGTGGGCACTGGGGCACAGCATTCACAGGTACACCACCAATCTCCAGAGCTACGCAGCTCCATTCTTCAATTTCACGAAGCTCTTCGTCAGTGTATTCTGGCTCAAATAAATAAGGGCGGCTATCAAACTCTGCATAATCAAATTCCTCCTCCACAAAGTTGAAGTCTGGCAAAAAGTCAGCCATTATTCTATAAATCTTTCATAAAATAAATGAATGAACTTTTCAGGCTACTGTCGGGTTCTGCCTTCCAGCTGTTGCTGCTTGTTCTCGCGAGATTTCGGCCGCACTTTGGAAAGCAGAGCTAGATGGTAAACAAACACGGCACCACACTGGTAAGGTAAGACAACACCTTTACATGTCGTTTTCTTTATGTTCTCTGACATTTATCCTCATGATATGAGGTGGTCTTTGTGGAAAAAAAACTTGTTTAGTGGACTAACTTTGCACTTGAAGGTTGCCTGTTCACTCACGTTTTAATAGGTCTGAAGCTACTATGCGCCTCGGCTGTATCTAGGCTAACGGCTAACATGCTAACTATTAATTTTATGTCACTAGTCACTTGAAACAAATTTAGGACGACAGGAGACAGGTTGAAATAAACCGAAATTTCCCTTTAAGATCCAGATGCTCAGGAGGTCTTTACCAGGAGACAAATTGTCCACTAAGGTCTCTTCCTGTCCAAAAGAAACAGATGTGGTGATTTAAACTGGTAAAACCACAGCATAAAGCAGTGTCACATTAAAAATCAGTGTTTTTTTAACACCATGAAAACACGACAAATCTTAGTTTCAAGTGATTATACACTAAAGAAAACATACTCATTATATTTTCATCCATTTCTGCCAATATATCCCCCTACATCCCACACACTGGACCTTTAAAGCATCAGTAATGATACAATAACATATGGACAATGCTGTCCATTAAGTATTTTTACTTTGATTCTTTACATACATTTTGCTGTTTATACTTGTGTACTTTAAGTGAAATCTTACATGTAGAATTTGTTATGTAAAAGAATATTTTCGACATGCAATATTACTCTTACTTTAACGAGAGATATACTTCTTCCACAACTGGGAAGCATTCAAACAGGGCTGCAACATGTTTACAGCATTATGTGAGCCAGGGATTCGGACACATTATTCTTAATACATTGAATATAATCACCCCTGCCAGACCACAAACTGCAGCATCACTCTCATACACCGTTTTCACCTTTTTGGGGGCTATGTGTGGGGCAATTTCATTGAATGGAGGGCAGATGTGATCATACCTGAACACCTCTTTAGTGTGACGTATTGCATGGTGATGATGAAATCTCATCTCAGGAAAGCACAATTTGTTCCAGTGCTGCTGAAACACAAGGCAGCAGGCTGTGTCCCAATTCCATATGATTTACAGATTCTATTCAGCATGGACTATAAACTAATGCATACAGTATGCTTTTATACAAGAATATGAGAACTGATTGTACTTTGTTTTCTACAAGATAAAAATATTCCAGATGTGCTAAAGGACATCAATATGACCGTAACTTTGGAACACAGCTCACAAACTCAAAAAGGCAAAAAAGAAAGCACGAAAGAGGAGAAAAAAATGAATGAAAGCATGTTTGAGATGTCAGTTTTCCTTTCACAGAAAATCTGTAGGCCACTCTGCTCCTCCTTTCTCCCACTGGCACCAATTACTCCTCATACAGAGGCAGTGGGGGGGGGGAGGGTCAAGCACCTCCCCAGAGCACAATGCTGAAAACTATTGGTGAGATGCAACTACAGAACAAACAAACCTCTTGTCTCAGAGAAGAATCATCAAAGCCTGACTGAAATGCAATTTTGATGGCTTTCGCAATTTTGACTCTTTCTAAACAAAAGACCATTTGTTTTCCTCAAAATGTTCCTGATGTTTTTTCTCAGAAGTTAGTGGAGTGTAAACTCTAAAAGTCAGCACGTCAGCAGGGCTGTAGCCATTATTTTAGAAACATTATGATCACAAGTCCAAATTGTTTTTTCCAAAACCTACCCATCTAAATAACTTTTGACTTGCTACCAAACTCTGTAAAAAATCCCAAAACAAAATAGAGTCATTTAGAAAAACACAAAATTTCACATTTATTCATTCACACTTATATTTAACATTATGGTCTACTCTAATGTTTCAAAGCCTTCTTTACAATGATAGGTCTGTAATTCTGTTGGAGGATGCCAAATCCCTTTCATTTTTTCTAACCTAAAACAATTTAGAGGACAGCCAAACCAGCCTTAAAAAAAATCAAAATATGCAATGTCATTTCAAGAGATCCCCAATGTCTCAGAAATATTTCTGAGACAATGAACTTGATGGCCTTAAAGGAATACTTCACCTGATCATTATCAATTACTCACCTTGTATTGTGCCTTTGGTAAATGAAAAATCCAAATCTGAGAAAATTCTTGATGAATTAAAGTTGTAGGGGTCCATATTGAACAACAGCAAATCTCTTGCAGTATAATCCAAGTCTCATTCATCTCCAATCATATGCCCAGTACTTTCCAAACAGACAGCCCTTTCTTATGGGGAACTGAACTTAAAATAAAAAAAGACAAAAAACAAAACAAAAAGGAACTTATGTATGCTCTCTTTAAAGCAACTGATAAAAACAGTAATTGTACCTCGATGAATACGGGAGCTTCTGGTTAACTATGACCTCAGTCAGTAGTTAGTTTGGTGCCATGCCATTGTTCCAAAAATTCCAA